GGACCCAACGAGCGAGACGCGACCGCGACTGCGACTGCGACTCGGGTCTTGGTCAGAAAAAAGAAAAAGAAGCCCGGGCGGTAGGCTGCTTGGACGAAAGAAACAGAAGCGAGCCTAAAATATGACGGACTGCAAGACTAGAAAACCATGTTCTAGCTTTGGCTGAAGAAAGACGGCGCGTTCCTGACGGTCAAGAGTGGTGGCGCTGGGCGATGACAATAACAGGAACAGGCCGTGATAGAGTGGGAGTGGAAGCGCGTCGTCGTCGATGGCTCAAAAAACGTGGATAATCCACCCCCGGAGCAATTGAATTTTGGAGGTGGACCGGGGGGGCCTTCAGCAAACGTGTTTGTCATTAGCCAGTGCCGCCAGGCTCTCACGCCCCCTAATTGCCCGTGAAACTAACTGCCTGCCCTGGGCAAGGGGGCACCATAGCACTTGATCGATGAGTAAAGGTACCTAAGGTACCTTACTCCGTAGGTGTCTTCTACTGAGGTGTGCTTTGTGCCTGTTCTGGTTGGCTTTGGGCTTCTGGCTGCGGATACCTACCTGCATTCAGATACCTAACGGAGTACCTAGTGTACGGTAGGTACGGGTACGTTACTCGAGGAAACCATCAAGTCATGTTCATGATTGGTCAAACTCCTGTACCAGTGGGCCCATTCTCTCCAGGCGAAACGGAAAGCACCCGACTGCGCAGATACTCGCCCCGACACCCAAATCAAGTTGGTCCTGCTTTCCCGAGTATGGAACCCTGTCTCGAATTTCTTGAACAAATATTTCTGTTTCCTTCAGGCCAACTTGCACTTGAACATGACATGATGTTTTCTTCCAGAGCTACAGTAGAGCTGCCACCCGCACGGCAACTCGGCGCAGAGCAACTGACAGCCAATCTTTCCCTCGCCGGCCAGGATCTACTTGCTCCTATCCAAATCCCCACCACTCCGCACTTTATTAGCATTCTTTGTGTCGATGTTGTTACGCCAGGGAAACCTGATGCTGTCACACTTCAAGCAAACTCACTCTCAAAGTTGAGAGACCGAGGACTTCCACTTACCTGGCCTTCCCTTTTTTTTTTCCTTTATTGATCGTACCTAAGGCGCACAGGCCATGTGTTTGCGGGGCTCCTTAACAAGCGTCTACTGCAGCCCACGGCAGCCTTGAGGTGTCCCCAGACGCTAGTGCAAGGCTGACAGCTCCTCTTCGTTGGTGGTTCAGTGAGGTGACTGTTGCGCGCACCTACCCCACCAACTCCAACTCACTTGCAAAGGTGTGAACTTTCCTCCACGAGCCTCTCCAAATTCCTTACCTTGCACTTTCCCTTTACACAAGTGTGTCGTTGTGCGCCCTCAACTCTTCCTCCATCTCTTGTTGCACGTTGCATGGGTAAATCGCTTCTGCAACTTGCCGTCGTACTTATTGATATCGGACTTCCGGCCGCTGGCGCATACCGTCGCAAACGTCATCACTCGACAGCTTCAATCAGCATGCGCTAGGTTCGGTGTGCAACTCGACACTCTTCTGACTGGTCACATCACCGGACGGCTCTGCGTATAGTTGAAGCACAGGTTAGTCACGAAGTCCAAGAACGGTCTTTATTGGAACAATCCCTGAGAAGCGGCTCCTCTCGATGCAGGGCACACCACAACTGCACCATGGCTTCTAAGCGGCAAGCCACAGCCTCGAGGCCTCGTCGCAACTCAGCGATCGCTACGGGTTCCCAATCTACTGCCAACGATCGAATGCGAGTTACCAAGGCCGGAGCCCGAACGTCCCCGAATAAGCTTGCCGATGGTCTCCGATCTAAAACTCGATCCTCGACTCGCTCCCACATTCAGTCATATGTTGGCATGGAAAGCACTGATGAGGAAGACTCCGTCGCGGACGAATCCGAAGATTTTGAAGAATCACCTCGCACCTCACGCAAGAATCCCCGAAAGACGCCGAATAAGGCTAGCGACGGAAGAGGGGCGAGCCGGGCCGGCACCAAACGCAAGTCGACCACCGCTGCGCGAGACTCTGCCCATAAGAGAGGGCGAGGTCGACCTCGCAAAGTGGAGGCTGCACCGCGGAAAGCCAAGCACGACTCCTCGGACGAGTCTGAAGACAATGGGTTCGAAGACGAATTCTCAGATGCCAAACGTACCCCAAAGACCACTCCGGCTAAGCCGCGTGGAAGGCCCTCGAAGAAAAAGGCGGATATCGACATGAACACCACAAGCCCCGTCATTCCAAATTGGCTCGACCCTCAAATTGCGCATTCAATCTGGGTTCAGATATTTCAATTCGCGGCGGTTTCAGGTGATGAGCAGGATACATTAGACGTCAACTGGATTCTCCATACGGCCAGGACGTGCAGGCAGTTCGCTGATCCAGCATTGACCGTTCTCTACAAATGTCCACCAGTACGGGACGAGACCAAAGCTTATGGGCTCGCGGAATTGCTCGAGAAGCCGCCATCGCAGACTACGTTCAACTACAGAGCCAAAATCGAGGCCCTTCACATCGACGTGAGACTGGTGTCCTTAAGAGGTCTGACATCGCCACTGAAGCTGATGCAGAACTTGCCACGTCTCAAAGAGGTCCTGCTCGTGCATGGATATGACCAGGCCCCTTTCCGAAAGCTGAAGGAATCCATCAAGTGGACTTACCCTGACGAGCTCTTTGAGGCATTTGAGGTGTCTCCTACTGCAGATGCTGAGGCTGGGGAAAAGACTGCAATAACACGGCTCCAAAGCTGGCAGTGGAGCTCCAGGCTGATGGACAAGAACTGGGAGGCGAGCCTTGCGAGGCTTCAAGAAGTTCACCAGATGCCGAGCTTCGTCTCTTTACGGAAACTCAAGTTCGTGAACTACCAGATGCCATCCATCAGACTGGACAAAGATCCCGAGACCAATCCTGAATTGCTTGCCGAAGATCAGAAGTCTGTAAGCCTGCTTGCGAATTCTATACTGGCTCTCCCCAATCTCGACGATCTGGTCTTTGAATCATCGACAATCATTACTACGTCACTATTTCCCTTGCTCCCAGCAAGGCTGAGACGCCTAGAACTAGTGAACTGTGCGGAAGTCATTGCCGACGATTTCAGCTTGTTTCTGGTCACGAAGGGACATCAGTTGCAGTCGCTTGTGTTGAATTACAACCGTTCACTGAACCTGTCCTTCCTTACGGTGCTGGGAACTGCTTGTCCGCACCTTAAGGAGCTGCGTATGAACCTGCAGTACTTCAGCCTATTGGAATCGAGTAACGATCGACTTCCATCTTACGACACGCTATTGCTTCCGAATGAGGTTCCTAGCTGGCCAGCATCTTTGCAAGTGGTTCATCTGGAGAATCTTCGTCACTGGAGCTCCGGCGCAGCCGATACTGCGGCTGCCGAGGCCTTTCTTCAATCATTGATTGATAGCGCTATAGAGTTACCGGATCTTAGACATATCTCCATCAAGGCAATGCTCAGTATTTCCTGGCGATCACGAGTGGAGCTCCGAAAGTCGTGGCAGGAAAAGTTTGAAAGGATCTTCCTTCGACAAAGCCCTGACCCAAAACCACACTTCACCCTGCAGAAACCGTTGCCCGTCGAGCCATCGCCCCTGGTCGTTTCGAAACGAAAGTCCAAGAAACCTATCGCAGAGCCATCTCGGCGGAGCAAACGAGTTGTGTCTCATGCTTCCGGTACATCTTCTCGCGCTAGCAGCACGTCGAGAGGGCTTCGTGGCCAGCAGCTGCAGCCCAAGTCGTACGCGGAGCCTGATAGCGATGAATTTGACTCTGATAGCGATGTCGATATGGAAGAACCCGAAGAAGATTCCAACGAGTGTGAAACCGACCAGGCCACAGAAGAAACGGCGGCAGATAAATTTGTACAAGGCATGTGCAACGTTGTCGATATCCATATCGACAACCAAAAGCCTCGGGAGCATCAGTACAGCATGGATGACTTCCTGAACGACGAACGAGACTTTGAGGTCGACGACGAGTGGGATAGCGATATGGACTACGCGTAGGAATGATTTGAGTCTTCGCTTCCCTTTGTTTGTCTGTGAGAGGTGTACTCGCATGACCTTTTTCATTTTGGCTTTCCCAGGGAAGCACTGAGGACGATGCAAATTTCCTCAGATATTGTGTAATACTACAACTTGGCCGTCTTCTATACACACGAGTTCATGGCTTGATACCATGAAAGATGAGACGACGAGATGAGCTATGGTTTGGCTTGGGAAATAAGGAAGGGCTTCACTGGAACTTGCTTGGCTGGCCAGCATGGGTTTACGGAAATGGGTATGGATCATGGATATGAACTGATGGATCGGGCTGAAAGGCCAGAAGAGAGACAATCTGGAGGCATCACATTCTGGCCTACCATGCCTTACTATAAGGTACCTCAGGTCATGGCTTCTTCCATGCCCTACGATACAGGTGAGGCAGCAGTAAACAGTTGCTTAATAAAGACGGAAGAAACGGTACCATCAATGCTGGCACGCCTTCTTCTTCTTCATTCATGAACTGGGACGTATCCAATACACCGCGCATTTACTTCACTCTTCGGGATCAAGCTACAAGAGGCACAGCAACCCAGATTTCCTCTCTCTCTCTCTCTCTCTCTCTCTCTCTCTCGCTACCTTGCTACAAACTTCCGACGAGGAAGGGGGACTTATTAATCCGTTTGGCCAGACCAGACATACGAGTATTCCGGTACCTGTCAAGTTTACAAACACACAGAGGGTATGTATGTACTTGGACACCCACTTGATTTCTTGTATTTTCCTACATGTAATGAAGCAAAAGCAAGAAAGGGAGGAGGCAAGGGTATGTGCCTCTCCGACTAACAGATAATAGTAGTAGTACATCTTCATCGCCGCTGTAAAAGGGAGGGAGAAAAGAAAACAAGAGTAAACCCTTTCCCCCCGTCTCCTGTCCACCCGAAATCACAACACAGAGTCCATTCCTTCCTTCTACGTCCTTCCCAATGTAATCTACCACGTAACGGAGCCCGCTCTCTCCTAGAACGCGGCACCGCCCATGCCTTCACCAGCCAAACTCTTCAAGCTCTGCTCGCTCACGTCCACCCTCGTCTTCCACGCCTTGGACTCCATCTCGAGCTTGTCCCACATCTGGAGGCTCTGCCGCAACTTATCCTGCTTCGCATCCAGCTCTGCGCGGGCCTTTTCCTCCTCCGCCTTGAGTTTCTTGTAGTGCGGCTCAATGTCCCTCGTGATGCCCGTCGTCGTCGGGAGCAGGGACGGGTCGATCTTGCCGCCGGGGATGATGGGCGGCAAGGTCGCAAGCATGCTCTGCGCGACCGTCAGGCGGACGTTTCCGGGGCCACCGTGCTGTGAGGAGGGGCCCGTGGGGGGGTTGAAGGCTTTAGGTGCTGACGATGTGCTTAACGGTGTTGTGTTGGAGGGGTTGGCGCGCGGACCGGTTGGGATGCTGGAGGGTCCGTTGCCAATGGCGGAAGGGGATGTCGTGGGGGCAGGGGCCTGGCGAGGGGATGGACCGGACCACGAGCCTCGTCCACCGCGGGCGTTGTATCCGCCGCCCCTGGCCGGAGCTACATAGCCTCGGGGGCCGGCCGGGGGGATCGTCGGGCTAACGGCGTCTGCGCGCGAGGGTGGCACGCTCGGGGTCGGCGGGTGTCTAGGTGGCTGGACAGCTGGTGAGCTGGCGGGCGCAGTGAAGTTTCGGGTCGCGGCAGGGCCGGTTGGAGGAGCACGTAAAGCGGCGGGGCCTCGAGGTGGTGTCTTTGCGGCCGGCGGGGCCGGCTCTTGGGGGGCGGCGATCGCGGAGGCGGCGGAAACGGCGGCGTTTGCGGTGGCGTTTGCGGCAGGCTTGGGTGCTTCGCGAATCGTCGTCGTCATCGTCGAGGACGATGATGCGGCAGAAGCACCGGTCTGAAGCGGTGTGGGTTCCCGCTCTCGCTCTCGCTGCTGCTCCCGCTCGACTCGCTCGACACGCTCCCCACGCTCCCTCGATTGCGGCCGCGAACGTGCTCGGGTGGAAGGAGGAGGATGCGGTGACGACTTGCCTGAAGCTGATCGAGACGTGATCGCTGACGAGATGCCAGAATCTCGGGGCGGCGAGGCCCGTCTGTAAGAGGATCCTACGTATCTCTCGCCACCACCGCCACGGCGGCTCGTACTACGAGACCGTGGGCGGTAGTTGCCACGAGATACCGGCGCAGGCGACCGCCGGGGTGGACTTCTGTCCCTGGGACCTCTGTCGCGGCCATATGGCGAACGCGACCGGCGTCTAATAGGTAATGAGACCGTAGTCTGCGCAAAGGGGGGCAACGCACGGTACCTGTCGTCCCGCCGATCAAAGTCCCTGTCTCTGTCCCTCTCACGCTCTCTGTCTCTGTTGTCGCGGCGCGGCGGCGATCTGGCTCGATCACTTCTCTCATCTCGGATGGCGGGAGATCTTCCAATAGGACTGCGGCGCCTTGAAGGGCTACGTCTCGGCGAGGGCCGTCTCACAGGAGGGGGGCTTCGAGTTCTGTCTCGTCTGCGCCATGTGTCGCTCTGAGGGCGCGGGTCTCTATCGCGGGACCGATCACGTCGGTAACGCTCAGCACTGCGCGAGCGGCGTCGCGCGGGAGATCTTCCGGGGACATAGCTGTCCGAGGTCAACGGTGGTGTGCGGGCGCGGTCTCTGTCGCGGTCTCTGGATCTCGGGCGGTCTCTGGTGTCTCTGGTGTCTCTGGTATCTCGATCTCGGTCTCTGTCGCGGTCGCGAGATCTTGGCCGGTCTCTATCTCTGTCACGATCACGGTCGCGATCGCGGTCGCGGTCACGATCTCTATCTCGGTCTCGTTCGCGGTCCCTCAGCGGGCTTCGGGCTCGTCGAGGAGAGCGGTCGCCGCCGCCACCTCCGCCTCTAGGGAAGGGTCTCCAGGACTCGCCAGCGCCATACCTAGTGACCTCACCGTCCTCGTACCTGGGATGTTTCGTCAGCTGATGCCATGGATGATGGTTCAAATACAATTAGAAGGCCCATGGGGGCTGGGCAATGGTAATTCGGTGCAGGAGGCACATCGCTCCTGCCTGCCTGTGAAGATGTGTGATCGCCGTACAGGTCCGGCAGTCCGAGATGGGTCCGTGACAGGTACCAAGTTGGAAAGCAAGCGATACACTGATCACTGATGCCACGGGGTTCCACTTCCCGTGGGCGACGCTCCAGTATGAAGGAATCGTGGAATATGCCAAGCTCGATCAGGTAGGCCCTCGATGAGCTCGGAATGAACGGATGGGAAATACAACAGAGCTGCCATAGCACTACTTACCTGCTTCTCCGATCGCGATCCATGTTCGTTCGTGTGTCGTGGAAATTGTAGCCTGCAGATAGGCTGAGAGCAGTGCTCGTAACAACGCCTCTCGTGATGGGGTCGTGAATCTTTGCTTGCGCGCGCGCGATAGGTAGTCGGGTTGGAAAGTTGATGGGTCAGCTAAAATGCGCGCCAACGCCAGACGTCAATCGTCCTTGGATGGAGCAGCAGGGTTCCTAAGGATGCAAGCAGCAAAAAGCGCCCGAGGATTGGGATCGGGCCCCCCCTGAAAACCAAAGGGTACCCACAAAACGGAGGCTGAGAACCAGCTGTGAAGCGCGCCCAGACGCGGCAGTCGAGATAAGATAGAGACACATCGGCTATTAGGCCAATTAAAGAGAGCGCGACAACGTCAGTGCTGTTCCACAAGGCGTCCTTTCGGCTAGGACCAATTAAGGTCTAGAGAATTGACGATGGCCTGGGATCTAAAGTGATTTGCCGGAAAAATTGCAGACGCCCCCACGACGAGGCGAGTATCGAAAGGCCACGAAAAACATTGCGGCAACAGGTTTTCAGAGAAGGATCCACTGACTAAGTCTCTTCTACACTTGGAGACTGAAAAAGACAAAAGTCAGGTCACTTACTGCTACATGCCTTCCCCCTCACCCTGCATGTGCCAAAACCTGGTGCAAGACACATCACCGAAAGGTCAAAAAGCAAAAGATTAACCCGAAGAGTGGCTTTGCCAATCGCGGTGAGGATTTGAGCCTCACGCGGGGGTCGAACCCGCAACCTTGAGATTAAGAGTCTCACGCTCTACCGATTGAGCTAGCAAGGCGGATTATTGTGTGGATGCTGTGATCCACTGTTG